AAGTCTCTATGATAGTGTTCAGGTACATTCCTAAGTCGTAGAAGGAATTTCATGTCGTTCCAAGTGACGACTGGCCCAAAACGTTGCCTCCTTCTCTCAGCTACGTTCCTGTCCCACCACGCTAAGGCATTATCAGTGAGCTGTGCAGCCGCAACATCCACCTTCTTGCGTTCAGCGTAGCCATAGCACTCAAAGATGTGCTCTAGTCGCCTTTCCCAATCCAAGTATGCTTCGGGATCCGATTTTCCTGCAAAAGTAGGGGGTGTTAGCTTGAGATCATGGGTTTGTTCTCGGGTATCTACTACTCTAGCTGGATTTCTTCTTAGAGGATCCGGTCTCCTCTGTTGCCGATGCTGAAGAGGATCAGGTGGAAGTTCATCCTCTAGCTCGGGCATCTCTTCATCATCACTCGCGTCACCGGCTTGCACTTGTGCTCCTCGAACTGGGGCTCTCCTTGGTTGTGCCTCAACTCGGTCAATTCTTGCTCCAAGTTCTTGACGAATGTTTCCCATTTGTTGAGTCATGTTCCTCAGCTCCTCTCTCATTGCGGTCATCATTTGGACAAGAGCATCGTTTGGAACAGGTTCTCCTTCGGCCATGTTGCTAGCTAGGCTTTCTTAAAGTACTTGTAATCAACAAAAACAATAAGCAAGTCAAAGGTACCAACGAATAACAATGGTAATAAAACACTAAACTATAGGTCTCGACACTAAAATAAACTAATAACTTTTTATAGGGTTTTCAGATTGGAGTTTGCAATGAACAGGAAATAATGGTCTTAAAACTATCAATGCAACGGATATCCTTTTTTTTTTTTTGTCTACTGAATACGAAAGCAAGAAACTAAATTTTTCTAGGGTTTTCGGTTTTATGAAGCAAAAGAGACTAATCGAATAAGAATAAAACTAGAGAATGCAAGGGATAGAAAACCAAAGGCAGGAACCTTTGGCTCTGATACCAAAATGATATAAGACTTGGGTGAAGCTTATATGATTGCGGAATCGATGGCTTGGTGGGAACAACACGCTGGCTATGACGCTCTCTCGTGGGTTTCAGTGGATGAAGGTGGTAAGACAAGGCTTGCTTCCACAAAACTTGAATCGAGATGGGATCTGTCAAGCTGGCTTTAACGCTCTTTCTTGAGGGATCGGTTAAGGGTTTGGAAGTGGATCGAAGGCACCACAGAGATGATGGAGGATCTCTGATACTGCGGCTTGCCTCTTGGTGAATCTCACACGCAAGAACACAAACAAAGTCTCTCAAGCACAAGCTAAGAGGAAAACGACGTTATTTTATTGATATCGGAAAAAAGGTTGAAGTACAAGAGCTGCATGTGGGACTTTATAAACAGTCCGTCAGCTTTGAACCTTCTAGGGGTTCGACTCAAAGAATAAAACGACACTAAAGACTCAAAACAACAGGACTTGTAAAAAGAAATAAAGTAAAATGGCAAAGCGTCTCATTTGGACACAAAAATGGAAAGTTCACTTAAAAATAAAAAGGAAAAGAAACTAATCGTGTGCAACCTTTTCTGGACTTGTTCCGTGCACCTCTGATGCCCACTAGTGTGTTAGACACCACTAGGATACTCCCATGTTACCTGCACAGATCGTATAAATGGAAAATACCTGGTTACGGCCGGCTGTGGGCTTGCTTGTTATCTCGTTGATTAGCTCGTTAGCCTTGAGGTTTTCTTCGTTAGTCTTGATGTTTTCTTCGTCTAGGGTCCTGCCAACGTCGTTTCCTGCAAGTTCTTCAAGTATCTTCACTCGTCCCCCTTCATGTTCCTCTTCTGGTCTCATTTGCTCGCTATCGGCTCCGAGTCTTGAAACAGTTGTATCTTGAGGGTCCAGTGCGGTCTCTTCGAGGTTATTGGTGTTCCGTGCTCCATTTCCTACCAAGTAAACATGTATACCTGGTTCTAGTTGAGGCTGGTTCTCTTTGAGGCTCAAACGCGCGAAACCCTCCATGATGTCTAACTCGGGTCCTTTGGGGCTATCTCGCGTGCATGGCTCTTGGATCACGATTTTGAATGCATCTCCAAGTTCCATGGTACTTAGTAATGATTCCACCGCCAAGTTGAACCCTTCTCTAAGCCTCTTTGCTTTGGAACGGGTCATTGGTGCTTCTTTGAGCTCGGGAACGATCTTTGGGTCTGGTGATGGGTCGATGACCTCATCAAGAATTAAAGAATGCCACAATTAATAGTGGAACATCCAGAAGATCATGTTCACACTCATGTCCGATAAATCAGGTCTAAAGCAAATTCAGAGATTTTTAAGATTTGTCAAATTGAGATAATGAGTGAAGAAAATGTTGAATATATTCACATCATGAGTATTACCCAAGGCGTAAAAGTATTTTAGAGAAACTACTTCATTCTTTATTGGATTGTATTACACTAACATATAAGATATAAATGCATATTGTAAACCAGAAGTTTACTAAAATCTCACTGTTTTGGCATAACTGGTTAAGCCATTCTAGCTAAATAATAATGCGAATAAGATCCAGAAGATTCTTATGTGTTCGGCTTTCACTCTCCAATAAATTTAGAATTATTTATTTTCTGGTACTTATACAATAGATATTTTGGACTGATCATCAATTATATTTTGCGAAAGTATTTGGTTAATTGATTAGAGTGAAACCACATTAATTCGCATTAAGCCAACAAATAATCTTCCAAAGATTGGTTTTGGTCAGGAGCCAGATATTTTGCATCTTAAAGTTTTGGATATAATGTTGCTCCACCACATTAATCTTAGATGGAACCTCAAAGGAGGTAAGAATTGTTGGATATAAATCTTCCTTAATAAAGTTTGATTTACAGACTGTCATTTCAGTGAGTCAATTTTTCCAACAATTATAAGGGGAGAAGAAAATAAACAGCTGGAAAATCAGTGAATAAAAATTATCTTGATCCTCATTAAAGATGTGCACTAAAAGTTAAAAAGATAATTTATTTGAAAAGTTATGCCATAAGCATTTCCTGACCCTGTTGAGTGATACCAGCTGTGCTCCAATTAATATTGATGTCCCGGATGGACAATATCAACTGCTTTTTAGGTTAAAGATCGCATGAAGCGTGATAGACCTAATGGTTACATATATAAGAATCCTCGGAAACGAAAAAGGAGCATATATAAAATGGCGAGGCCGATGAAGATATCTCCAGAAGAGACATAGACATGAGAAAGAAAGAAATCTAGGTACCTAGTAATGATAAGAGATTTCAACTAGTTGAGTCATGTCTGGAATGAATGGAATCAAAAGCAAATCGACGTCGATAATATTTTTGCATGCAGTAAAGCAGTTGATGATGAGAATTGAGGATACCCCATGGTATAAGAAGATGTTTTAGAAAACGTATGTAAAGTGATGATTGTCCAATCATGGAAAAGCCATGAAGGCAAAGTTAGAATCTCTTGCAGAGAATTATTTATACCAGTAGTCCCTACACTTGAAAGTGTAAAACTAGTAAGACATAAATAGATCTTTATACAAAAAGATAAATGAAAATGATATCTAAAATGATATTCTTTCCAGTGGTGGATGCAATTATTTTTTAGATCCTTTATGAGTTTGATGATGAAAAGTGACTTGATTTAATCTAAAGAGAATTTAAACTGCCAGAAGCAGCAGGCAAGAAGAATTTAAACTGCTAAGAGTAATAATTCTTGTTCTTGAAGAATACTATACGAAGAAAATATTTTATGTGAAAATGGTGTTATGAACTAGAAGTCTAATAAGTTCCGATAAATTGAAAAAATGTAAAAATCATATGAGTGCATTAACAAATGTTATGATTCTCTAAAGATGATATATATGATTGATATCCATCTCCTGAAGAAGATGCTTCCATAGGGAGATATATGATAGTTGTACTCTTTTTTTTTATCATGGTTTTTATCTCATTGAGTTTTTCTTTGAGAAGGTTTTAACGAGGCAGCTGAAAACACAATGGTGATATACATCTATTACAAATTCATTCAAGTGAAGATTTAGTGGACTTATGTACTAAGACGTCTCCAACTGCTATATTCAAGAAGATTGTTCAGCATATTGAATAGCGTTTTTCTCAAGCATTTCAAGTGATGTACTCATGAGGGTGAGTAATAGCGCATTGCACTCTTTTTCCCTTAACTATGGTTTTTCTCAATGAATTTTCTTAGTAAGATTTTTAATGAAGCAGCATTTTAGGCGCTTTACTACTATTACATTATAATGGACATTCAAAAGGGAGTGTTTTGAATTAATATTATTGATGCCCATTATAAAGCTCATATCATAAGGAGGTTTAGAATATTCTCTATTTCCTTATTCTCTAGGTTTTAGTTTTTTCCCCAAGTCTTTGTATTACTATAAATACCTATCATTATTCATGGAATAAGACACAACAATTTCTCTCTTTTTTCTCTCTTTTTTCTCTCTTTTTTTATTCACAACAATATTTCTATTTTTTAAAGTCATATTTATTAATTTTTTGTAATAATAGTTATTTTCTCAAAAAATTGAGTATTTATATCTAAATATCATCACTACTTTTTGTTACATATATGTTCACTTATATATATTTAAAATAATTACAAATTTAAAATACTTGATTTTTCCGGTGATTTTGCCAGGGCTCGAGACCTAGTGTCATATAATATCATCATACACGGGATCAGGATGTGCAATGATGGTGAGATTGAAGACGGACATGATTTGTTTTGTAGCTTTTGTTCAATCTCCCATCATACAACATATCAGTAACAAACAATACAATGATTAGGCTATTGTAGTGACAGCGAAACTCTTGTAGAATATTCTCCAACACTGTTAGTTCTTATCCTCCAAACAACGAAGACATAACCACTTATGTCAAACCAAAGGTGGCAAATTCAAGAAGGAAAGGTACATCACATTAGCTTTCATCTCTAAGATCATTTTTGTAATTTTTATATTTACTTGAACTGTTTCATCTCTTGGGTCCAGTGAAAAAGAAAAGGAAGAAAGGTAAAACACATTTTGTTTTCATTTCATTGCTTAACCAGGTTTTTAATCTTTGTGATGCTTATATTGAAATATTTGTCTCTCAAAAATTTTACAGTAGAATCCATGAATCAGAGATCAAAAATCAAAACCTAAATATTTGGATAATTCAAAGAACGTACTTTATATGCAATAAAATGGTGAACTAGTGATCATAAATGCATCTGGTCCAGCACCTTCAACTACTTTCTCTTGAGTGGAACACTTGCAATGTCTTAAGAACCGCTTTAAGCCATCTCGAAGCTGTTAAGTGTTGTGAACGGATCAGCCTTGATAGTAAAGACATATGCCTACACTCATCCCATATCTCTTCAACTTGTTCCCACAAACCAACATCAAGCTCGAGACTAAACACAAACTTACGGAACCCAATCGACCTAGCCACTTGACGAGCTATCGTTCTGTGCTTACACATCACTCGTATCTAGCTGCTCTTCAAGTCTCATCAGTTTTAACCATATTGTAGCCTACAGCGGTTTACAGATTCCGACTGATTTCCATCTAAGCCTCAAACGTGGAAGATGCACAGCCAACTCATACCTTGGTCGAGTAATCTACGAGTCCATCACCACCAAAAACATAAGAAAACATGGAACAAAAGATGATTTGTCGAACCAGAAAACAATGCTCTCCATAAAGTGTACCTTTTGTTCAGGGAGAAGGTCAAATTCTGGATGGTCACAACAACAGAATGGTTTAGAGATCTTTTCCCTGAGGATCTGGTTCTTAAAAAGAAGCACAAAGCAGATGATCAGAGGTTGGGGCTTACCCAATGGCCGAGTCATCAAATAATTAATGTCTTTTGTCAAGAACCAGAAGTGCATTTTGCAATAGTTGTCTTGCTTTTCTATCTGCAGTACACCCAGAGGCTTCCATTTCCCTGAATATTTCTGGAACCTGTGCAGCCAGCAACATTAGAAACCCAATTTGACAACACATAACGTCTACTCAATGAAACGCTTGTGGAATATAAAATTACAATAGGAAGTACATACCTTTTCATATTTCTTTGCTCGAGTGAATGCTTTCATAAGTGTACTATAGGTAACCACATCGGGGGTGAATCCCTTCAGAAGACAAACTCAATCAGTTTAGCATAAAATTTCACGATAAGAGTAGAGAGCTAGTAGAAGTTCAATCGAATGGAAAGACATACGTTTTCTTTAATATGGTGATAGATAGACAGAGCTTCCATGTGCTTCCCAGCAGTTCCAAACGCATTAATCAAAACATTCAGCATAATCAAATTCGGTTCAAACCCCTCGTTCTCCATCATCTTGAGCACTTTCACCGTCTGTTTGCATAGTCCCTGTGTAAAACATTTGATCATAACTTGCACATGTGATCCTTCTTAAAGCTCGCACAATCAAATGTGAAAGTAATGTAAGTGAGAAACAGACCAAAGACAGGCGGCTCTATCAGCGTTTTACAGTGCTTATACTTAAAATCATATTATGAAAGACATGAGAGCTCCTAAAATTTGGATCACAGACAGAAAACTAGTCCCAAAATTCAGCTATATCAGAACAGTGAAAAAGCCAAAAGTTGGAACTAAAAAGAAAGCCAAAATTCAGATATATCCATGGACCATCAACATTTGTTAACATTCCATAACTCCTCTATATACCAAAAGGAAACCCCTAAAACAACCATGTATAGTGTCTACCAAGTTCATGCCATTAACAAAAGAAACCGAGAACAATAAAACACAGAAAGATAAGGAAACCAACCTGCTGAGCATATGCATTAGCCAACGTACAAAACATATTAGCTGAAGGAGCAACGCCTTCTGACTTAAGCTTACACACAAGTTCCTCTGCATCCTGAAAACTCCCAAACTGTCCAATAATTTCAACTAAAGCTGCATAGATGGCTCTCGTATCTCTATGTTCCTTACACTCTACGGACTCAAAACTCTTACTTATCATGTTCCAGTTCCCTTTCTCTCCCAACCGAGTAATAAGCTTCACGAAAATCCGCGGGTCAAGATAAATTCCCTGATCCTGCATCATCGTGAACAGCTCAAGCGCAACATCGAGCGCGCCGTGATGACAATGCCACCGTATCAGCGAATTCCATGTACTAATATTCGGCTTCGAATCACTAGATTTCTGCATTTTCCACAGGACCTTCAATGATTCATCCAACTCTCCGTACTTACCAAAAGTATCAACAATACTGTTGTATATCTCAACATCCATAGGCAAACCAATCTCCACAATCTCCTCTACAATCCCTAATGCTTTCTTCCACATACCATTGTCTCTGTAAATACGTATGATCTTCCCATAAACAAAAGAACTCAACTGAAACTTCCTCTTCTTCATCTCGTTAACCACACGCCAAGATTCCTCCAATCTCCCAGCACCAACGTAGTAACTCAAGAGAATCTCGAAACTTTCTTGGTCCTTTTCAACGTTCCCAGCTTCCATATGATCCAAAACCCTAAAAGCTAACTCTAACTGGCCTTTCCTCAAATACCCACTAAGCAAAGCGTTGTAAAACCTCGACGAATAGCTTCCATGGAGATCGAATCGAGCTACTTCCTGGAATAGAGCGTCGGCTTCGAGAGTCCTCCCGAGATTAGCGAGGGTTTCGATCAAGCTAACATACGAAAGCGGATCCGGGTGGGATCCGAGAGAATCCAATTCGGCGACAAGAGACATCGCTTCGTCGATTGTACCTGTTCTGCAGAAATCACGAATCTGACGATTGTATTTAGAAATCGAAAGCTCCTCTGTGTGGTTAGAGAAGCAAATTAGCCGCCGCCGCGAGTATCTGGAGGTCGAACGACTGAAAGTAATCGAGATTCTCGTCGGAGACGAAGGAATTGAGACTCCGGAAATGAGAAATCCATGGGAAGGAGTTTCGGTACACAGAGACATCATCGCCTCCTTCCTCAGAAGCAATCATCAACCTCGAATTGTTGAGCTCATCGCTCTTGGATCACTTGAACGACGACATGAATGCAAAGCAAGCGAGGGAAATTCTTATCCGTTTCTCTCTTCTCAATTTTTTTATTTGATTATTTGTAAAAGTGTTTTTTCGAAATGGAACGCTTTACAATGTTTTCAAGTGAGTGATTCTGAACAGCAATCTCCAATGTATTATTATTTTTTATTTCAAAAAATATTCTAAATATATTCTCCTTTTTATTATTTATAACAAATATTCTCCTTTTATTATTTATATATATATATTAGCTAACGGATCTGCACACTACAAACATTTAAGTAAGACATTAAAAACTAAATAATAGTTTAAAATATTATGTTATTTATATTATATTTTTGTTTTTATTGATTTTGATTGGATCTTTCATTGGAACGAGATTCGAAATCAATATTCTTTAATAAATAATATGATCAATTTATTAGTACAATCTTTCACCAAAATCAAAATTTGAACTAGAATCGATTATCACTATTTAAAATATCCATAAATGTTTTTTGATCCCTAAATTTTTGATTCATGTTTTTATATATAAAAATTTAATCCATAATTACATCCTTAATTACTCCTTATACAATTTCAAAAGGTTTCCTGTAACTCGTATACCATGTGAATCAAGTAATGAATAAATATTTTTACAATTACAAAATATATATATTTAAGCAAGCATGACTTTAATACCAAAACAGAAATTGTAATTGCACTTCGAAACAGAAGAATAGTTAAATTCATATGTATGTTTAAATATGTTTATTTAAAAAAGGGAAAATTCCTTATAAAATCATCAACTTAATTTCAATAAGCTTTTTAAATCCTCAACTTTTCGTGTGCCCAAAAAAAAATTTCAAATTTTTTTTCTATTTATTTTAAATCCTCAATTATTATCCGTGTGATCATTTTACTTCAATATGATTTGGGGATTTTGCTTCAATTTTGTCGAGATTTAGCTTATATCGAGTTTTATGTTAACCATTATTTAACCACGACGAGTACTGTAGCTAGTTTGTCAACGAGATTCAAATAATGTTTCCATTTTCGTTTAGTATTGTTTCGTATATGCTGTAAATTAATTATACGAATAACAATTGAAGATTTAAAATGGGTAAAAAAAATATTTGAAGGTTTTTTCTGGACACAGGAAAAGTTGATGATTTTAAAAACTCATTGAAATTAAGTTGAGGATTTTATATGGAATTTTCCCTTTAAAAAATTAGGACGAGATATTGCAGAAAAAGGACATGATCAGGTAATTCAGGTACTGAAACAATTACTCAGTTATGAGGTAACTCTGAAAATGAGAGAAAATCGATTTTGGTCCTACAACCACATCATCCGTTTTACGAAAGCTCATATTTCCAGTAAAGTTCATCTCTACCATAGAGTCTCAACTTCATAGAAATATTCACCATCATTATCGTTTGGCGTTCGTTCTATCTTATTCTTCTAGCTTCAGCTATGCTTTTTGTTTATGCGCTTTTGCATTCATCCTGATATTCACTCCAAATCACCTTTGAAGAAACCACAAAGAACAAAAGAGAAATTTGATATGCGGCGATGTCCAATAATAATATTTTCATATTAAAGTTATTTATAGCAAAAGTGATTAAATTTATAAAAGCCGACTATGTCTGTGGATTATGGCAAAAAAACATTAGGGTTCGTTAGGTTTTAGTAAAAAAAATTTTTTTTAAAAATTGATGAAGGGATGAAGTGTCAAACCGAGATTGATTGATCAAAAACTGGACCAAAATTATAACCAAACGGTACGATAAATTCTACATTGGTATGTTTTAAGTGAGTTATACACGTCATCGGAATATAACAAATGAGACACGTACACATAGGATTGTAAATATATTATTAAAAGTATTACAGGCTTTTCACAACCGAAACTCTTTGAAAACGCGATACGTCAGCAAAACGTTGTGAAAATTCTCTGTGGAGCTGACAACTCAGCAAATCACTACAGAAATAAGTATATAGATATATTGTCTAGAGGATTTGTGATGTCACAGCTCAATTTGAGACACATTCTTTGGGAGAGACTTGAGAGAATTGCAACTACACGAGTGGGTCTATGGTTATTGTGTGGGGACTTCTATGAAATCCAGAATGCTAATGAAAAAAAAGGGGGCAATGAGAGAGAGAACTGGACTTTTGCAAATTTCAGGAACATGGTTAATACCTGCAAAGTTAAAGACCTTCCATTTATTGGTAATAATATGACTTGGAGGGGCAAAAGAAGAACTTGCACTGTGGAATGTTGGCTAGATCGTGCAATGGCCAATGATGAATGGAGAGCTTTATATCCAGCTACAAAAGTCAAGTATTTGGAACTTATTGAATCCGATCATCGACCTGGCAATTATTCAGATCAGAAAGTGTACAGATTATGGTAGGAAATCATTTCGTTATGATAGTCGGCTGAGTCAGAATCCAGAGTTTCCTCAAATAGTGGAAGATAACTGGCTTTGTAGATCTTCATCAAGTTTCATTCCAGTCACTGAGCGTATTCGAAGATGTCGCAATGCTATCTCGGATTGGAAAAAGTCACAACAGTTGAAATCTGCAAAATCCATCAATACTCTCATTAAGACTATCGATCAAGCCTCAACTGACCCTATTGTCCCTTCTGCAACTATCTATGCGTTAAGGAAGGAATTGCCACAGGCCTACAAAGACGAGGAAGCCAATTGGAAAAGCAAAAGCAGGAACAAATGGCTGACAGGAGGAGACAGAAATACTCGGTTTTTTCATGCCACCACAAAGAACCGCAGAGACAAAAATAAGATTACTACCATCAAAGGTAGCCAAGGAAGATATCATTGGTAATGAGTGATGGAATTCGTACCGGCTTATAACGATTTATAAATACTAATTACGAATTAAATTGCCAGGATTCATGCAAATACTGATTTAAATCTAGGTTATGGAGTTTATGAATATACCTGGATATTCTGCAGCGGAACGGTGAGCAAATACGATTCGAAATTATTTTAGCACCCCCAAGTGTTGTGCCTCTACTAGTATCCACACGCACACAAACTGGATCGGAACGGGTATGCTAGTACCTTCAAGATCTAATCTCAAACACTCGTCACACGAGCTTGTTTCTCTTTGGATTTAAAGCTTGTTAGGTTCCTATTGTTTCACAAAACAAATATCTCCACGTGATATAGCTTTTGTTTCTTCAAAAGAAATTGATTCCTTCCTTCGCAAGAAAAGAATCTTTGCGTGTGTTATAGCTATGCGGCCCGCACCCTTCTACGTGATAGGAGCTTCATATTTATATGGAGTAATAATAATCCCTAATCTAATCATATTAGTATTAGCTAAGCCCACATCACGTCAAGCCCAATTCTCTTAATCCAATTAAGATTATTAATCATAGTCAAATATATATATATATCTCCTATAGATATATATTACATAAAATCCAAAATCCAAATTTATTAAAATTAGTCTAATTATATTAGACTTAATTATTCTTAATCCAATTTGCTTAGGTGTGTGACCCTATAGGATCATATAATATTAGTAACGGGTTCTCAACCCATAGATTATAAGCGGCTTCTAGCAAAACATTATAACCACCTAATATTATACGATTGTCAAATCTCGACATTACAACTTTAACTAGAGTAAAGTACAAATGATTTCAGGACATTCCCAACAATCTCCCACTTGTACTGGAATCATCTATTCCTATAATCCTTTTGTCTCTATATCTCGATCTTAGCATAAAGCAAGAAACAGTGTCATCTTTATCAAGCTAGATCATGTTTATCAAACTCTGATTTGTACTGATTAAACAAACGACTGACATTCACCTCGTTTGAGCGCCGCCACGCATTTCTCAGTATAAAATCTTCGATAGGCCCAAAGATATTTATCTCCCGTTATATAGGAGGGACAAATCCCATCTTGTTTCATCCTTGTTCCTTACACAATTCATAATGTACCCGATCACTGTCTTTATAATCACCTTTTACGGCTGACGTTTGACAAAGTCAAAGCAAACTAATCCATGTACAAGAAATCATGACGAACTCAGGTCAAAGGACTATACTCTATATATAGTTGTGATGAAAAACTCTTATGACACTCATATAACAATCTTGTAGAGTTCTCATATCGGGTCAGTCCAATCATGTGTTCCCAAACACATATCTATGCGATTGACTTGATACGACATATCAATGACTCCACGAAACATAGTCATCAGTCACCTCACATACTAGTCATTAATAGTTATTAAAGTCCCATTTTAATAACCTTGACTAGGGACTTCAATAATTTAAATCATCTTCCACTTATAGAGTTTCATGATCAAGTCACATACTTGATGATCTATAAGAATGACATAAATTATTTTGGGACGACTATTTAATTATCCAATAATAAAATAATACTGAAACAAATTTCATTATTTTGAAAATAAATCAAATGTATGTAAACATGAACATCATATCATAAAAGAAATTAAAACCTCCCACTAAAAATAAGATTACATCTTTATGAATCTAATGCCTATCACAGCAGTATGACTCTCATGCTTAGGCTGCGGAAGAGGTTTCGTAAAAGGATCAGCAACATTTGCATCCGTAGGAACTCTGCTAATCTTCACATCACCTCTATCAATAATCTCACGAATGAGGTGATATCTTCTTTGAATATGCTTGGATTTCTGGTGTGACCTAGGTTCTTTCGCTTGTGCGATGGCTCCATTGTTATCACAGTAAAGATCAACAGGGCCAGAGATGCTAGGAACCACACCAAGCTCAGTAATGAACTTCCTAATCCAAACAGCCTCCTTAGCTGCTTCAGAAGCAGCTATATACTCAGCTTCAGTTGTAGAGTCTGCCACAGTGCTCTGTTTAGAACTCTTCCAACTCACTGCTCCTCCATTGAGACAAAAGACAAATCCAGATTGTGATCGAAAATCATCCTTGTCTGTCTGAAAGCTGGCATCTGTGTAACCACTCACAACAAGTTCCTCACTTCCTCCATAAATCAAAAACTTATCCTTAGTTCTTCTCAAGTACTTAAGGATATTTTTGACTGCTATCCAGTGACTTTCACCT